CGGCGCCGGTGGAAATGGCACAGCCACTGCTGCAAGCAACGGCAACGCGAGCGACACTACTGCACGTTATCAACCGCTACGCACAGCTGCCATGGGCGCCAATGATGGCAAACGTGATATGGTCAACAAGCGCTCCAGCGAAGTAGCGACATCAACGCCCATGGAGCTGGGCGCCACAACAGCAGCAGCTGCAGCGGCGGTAATGTCGCAGGTGCAGTCCGCGTTGCCGCGTGCCATGCAGCTGAAGAAGCAGTTTAGCATGGATCAAGCGAGCAAAGTGCAGCCACAGCAGCTGCAACACTCATTGCACACACAAACGCTCAACGCGCTGCCGGCGACAACAGCAACAACGACTGGTGCAGCGAAGACAATTGGCAGCGCGTTGGTCGATACGAGCGCAACAAGTGCGGCCGCTGCTGTACTGCCAGCACTTGCAGTGCCAGCCAAATTGCTATCCTCGCTCAAGCCGCCCGGCGGCATCAAAACACTCGGCATGAACATACTCAAGGAGAGCAGCTCCAGCACGGAGGAGTCAAAGGAGAGCGGTGGCGACAATGTGCACGCCACCGCAGCCATGCCACAAATAAGCACACACACAGTACAAGATGAAATTGCCAAACTGTCGTCCAATATAAAATCAAGCACCGAATCGGAGAAGGATCCACCATACAATGAGACAATGTGCTGATTAGCAAAGGCAGTTGGCCGACTAGCAAACACTGTCTACTATTACCCACATACCTACACATTTATATTACCTGTGCAACGGCAGCAAAAGCAAGCGTGAATTTTATAAACTAACTACCTACCTACACATACCTAATTGTATCTAAAAACTTTATTGTATAAGTACGAGTATGTATATAAATATGTATGTGATTGTACGTTGTTGATTAGTGTAATAGAGCATTTAGGGAGCGTTTAGATACATATGTATATATGTCACATAAAGATGAGGATGAAGAAAATGCCTATATATCTAAAGAGAATATACTTATGCATACATACATTATACATCTACAAGTAAGCTAAAAACAAAAAAGAATTTGCTCCTAGAAAATGATATATAATGCTAGTGAAGTGTATTTTAAAAATGTCCTTTTTTATGTACTAAATTTTAAAACTAATTTTAAAATGCGAAGTTAGCGGACGCATGCATGTGATGATTGTTCATTCGAGCAAAACAAAAAGGGAAAACATAAAAAATAACAACCAGCATTCGCCATACGTAATTATGTCACTAAACATAAATTGCCGCGCGCAAAGCATACTTTAGCGTATATTTAAGCTATGTACATATTCATAAATCAAACTCGTTTTAATATTCTAGATTGAAAGATAGCAATTATCAAATACTTATTTTGTTTAGCTTAAAAAATTGTTTGCCATTTACCGTTATTTGTTTTTGATAGGTGTGTGTATTTATTGAAAATTGTTAATTGCTTATTTGTAGCTAACAATAAGCTGTTACATATTGTTTACAAGTTTTAGGTAAGCTTATTTGCATTTTTAGGGATTTACCAAAACTTAGTTTTTAATAAATAAATAGTTATATATGTATGTATTAATGTATAGCATGTACATATGTACGTATACAGCTGCAATTGTAAGAAACCTCATTGCTCAAACAGTTTTATTCTGATTATTTTATTTTGTTGTTGACCGCCGAAAATTTTGTGTACTACTATATTGTAATTATAAAAACAAAAAAAGATCTCTTTCATATTACGAAAACTGATGCCGCCAATAAAGAAAAATTAAAAAAATAAATAATAGTAATAGTTATACAAGTGGTGCGTTCGCCGTACATAAAAGAAAATACATACATACATTTTTTTTTATTGTTATTACGACTAAAGCACAAATTTTCGGCGCAAATTTTATTGTACTTATACTCATAATTTTATTGCATTTTTTCATGTTAGCGCAAATATTTAATAAAAGTAAAACCATATTAAGCTCGACGAAATTCAGGAGGTATAAACACATTTTATTTCGAACTACAAACAAAACTAATAAATATGTGTGTGGTAGGTAAATTTTTCCAACATTAATTTCCAAAACTATTGGTATTTGTATTAATTTAGATGTTTCTTCCTAGCACAAGAATTTCACAAATTATTTTTAATTGTAGAGCACTCAAATTTAATCCGAGATCTTATTCATTTTCGGTGATCCCTACTGAAATTTCCTGCTTAACATTTGTTCATAATGTTTCAATCCTTCAACTGCCATTCTTACCTCCCTATTATGAATTCGTGCGATGCAAGATAAACGCTTGCATTCTGTTCTCTATTAAGAATCGGTGTTGTCGTATGAAATCCGATAGTTAGTGTAGCTAATTTTTGCTGCTTCACAATAAAAAAATGAACAAAAACCTCAAGGCTCTAAAAAAAATTCTTTACACTGTTCTACAATGTACTTTAACAGCCAATTTCACGAAAGCAATTTAAGTGAGAAATGATTTTGATTTTTTGAATTTTATATGGAAATTGACGGAAAATAAAAAATCATTTTCCATTTAAATTGCTTTTGAAGTCGGCTGTAAGTTTCATTGGCCGCAAGAATAAAAAAATAAGCAAATAATTTATTTATTTTAAGAAAAACCAGTTGCTTAGTTATTATTTATTATTTGTTTGATTTCGCCTTCGCGGGAGTTAAAAAATTAAATAACTGATTTTTTTCAGAGTTTTGAAGGTTAAATTCCGTTTCTATTTGCAAAGACATTGGTATGTACTAGGGCGATTCACTTGTTTTTGCAAACCAGTTTCCTGTGGTGTTTTTTTTTTGTTTGATATCTACTGGCTGTTATTTTGAAATCTGTATTTTTCGAATATCTAATAAAACGGATTTTTATTTTATCGAACGGTGCTTTTTTCATTTCATACAAATCTTGAGCCCTCAATAAAAGTTTTGAGTTTTTCGAAGTTTTCAAGGCCTTTTCCAGTTTAAGGAAAACGCCTGAATAACTTTAAAATTACATCCTAGGTTATTTGGATATGAATCGTATATCATATTTGATTCCAATAAATGAATGTTTGGCGCTTAAACGTTTTCTGCGTGTTTGGCCGGGCTTCTCCTCCAATTCTGGTTCTCCTTCTTGTTATTGTGACACAAATGGCGAGATCTACACTACATCTCCAAAGAAGCTTTTTTATGGCAGAAGTACACACGGAGATTTGCCATTATCTGGCGAGGTGTGACCACTATTTGAAAACACTTTGGCAGTGTATCTTAAAATTTAATATAACGTACACATACCTCATGAGAAAGAATTGGAAGAAAACTTAATGCGAAATTTATACGTGCCTGCTAGAATTTGCAAAAATATATACAGTATATTTTGCTTAGCTGCACATCCTTCTTTGCACGAAAAACTTGTGCACTTAACCGAAAAAGGCACTTAAGCGAATTTTCTTTACTACTTCAATGAGGAAGGTATCCAAATCCTTATGAAAGCAAATAATGGAGAAGCACTTACCACGTAGAAATTACTGCAAGCGAAATTTTTACCGAATAGTATCTAATTATCTATATAACTACGGGCGGTATTGTCACTTGCGAAGCGAATGAATTTGGCGAAGCGAACGGTTTGGCGAAGCGAATGGATAGGCGGACGCAACTTAAATATGCATTAAGAGTGTTCGCTTTTACCAGCTTGTGCAAGTTCTTCGCATCGCGCACACTTTTAGTACCTTCTCTGCCTTTTTATTCGCTTCGCCAAACCGTTCGCTTCGCCAAATTCATTCGCTTCGCATGTGATAATACCGCCCTACATAAATTTATAGCCATTTTCGTTGTTCTGCGAGATGAACAAAATAAATAAAAAGTTATGTAATTGTAGGGCCAGTGCAGGTAAACGTAATACTTTCTTTGATAATTGATACTAGTCGCATATTTTTTAAGGCAGGTATCGCCAATGTGCAGGTATGCTAAATGCATCTATCGGAGCAGTTTCCTTATAAATGTTAAAAATAATGCCTCTGATGCGCATTTTGGGGTAGGTATCTTAAATGTGCACTTAAGCATAGAAGCAGCAAAGCAAAATATAGGGCGTGTTCGAGTAGCAATCACAACCGCAGTGTTGCGCGAATTATTAAAGTATCGCGTTCTGTGTGAATTTCTAGCAATGTATTATCAGTTGGGCAGTTGCAACAATGGTTCCATTTTTCATCAGTACGGCAGTAATGCCGCTTTTATTACGTGCCTCGAACAGGCCCATACTATATATGTACATATATTTTTTTTTCTTGAGAGAACCTGTATTGTGGACGCAGACGATGAAAGCGCCCCTTGCTACGGATTTAGAAACATAATAAATAAATAATAAATCCGGTGTCACCTGAACTGGATCTTGTCGATCGGCGTTTGCATTTTGATTGATCTAAGCATGGCGAAAATTTAGCCTCCGTTCAGGAAATGTTGAAAGACAATTGTTTTTAATGCTAAATTTAAGTAAATCGTATGTTACGTTCAATTAATATAAACATACATATATATTGTTACCTTAATGCACAAAGGCCCTAACATACTGTGGTAGGATGTATCAAAATATACCTTCAATGAAGATTTTAAAGTGCTAGTACCAAAAACAACGGAGTTACATACAATTTTTTGAAAAGCCATACCTGTTTTTGATACTCTTTTCGCTTGTCCTGTAAAATAAAAACATTTGATGCTTAGGGCCGTTGTGAATTAAGGTAACGATATGTATCTGTATCTGCTTAGTATCTGGTTGCCCGTATTACCTGAAAAGCACTGTCATATCAAAGCAAATGAAAAAACGTATTTACACACATTGGCCATTAAGCAAATATTCTGATGTAAAAAGCATATAAAGCTTATTTTAATAGGAAATCAATTAATATATTTATATACATATGTATGTACATAAATACGTGTCAGTGGCGGAGTGGGGGAGNCAATTACAATTACATTCCTCAGTAATTGTAATTAGGATTCAATTCCTTTAGTTCACTGCAAAGGAATCGATTACTTTTTCAATTCCTTGAAGTAATTGTTTTTTTCTTTAAGTCCATTACAAGGAATTTCATATTTTAATTGGAATAAATTACGTGCTAGT